GTAATGCCAATGCAACAGAACAACCTCAACAATCACCACCAGAAACCCTACGAATCCTTCGAATGTGCCAACTTGAATCCCCTTGAAGACACCAGCAGTCCAGAAAACGCCGACAGCACCTTGACTTACACGAAACTACCTCCTGGTGATAAACTGACAAGTGGGTATCTGCCTATAACGTGTTTACCAGGAGTGGAGCAACCGACGAGGTTATTAATGGCACCGAATACACCTGATGATAGCCAGGATGACGATGACTCTATGTCCCAGATTAAGACGACTGTGAAAAGGTCTGATACTGCACCAGGGTATGTCGTGGTGGAAGCTACCCCGAATACGAGTAAAGTACAAAGTCCTGTACGTGTTGGTAACTTATCAGCAATCCCTAAAGGTTACGTAAAAGCTGCCGAAATTCCTAACCTAGAACAAACCTCACCACCAGTGAACAAAACCACAAACCTGCCTTACGTTACTTTAAACACTGATATTAACCCCAAAACAAAACTGAACACAACGAATTCTAATGGTTATGTGCAGCATACCATTACAAATTAATCTTGAAAGTTAATTAATAATAATTAACTTTATTATTAGTTATTAGTGGACTTGGCTATTAAATCCATTAAGATTAAGCCTTAATTATTGTGATAGTTAAATTATTTTATTATGTGGTCGAGGAAACCGAAAGGATTTTACAGGAGTGCCTAGAAGGTAAATGTGTATTTTTATAATGCTAAAATTATTGGTAAGTTGTGCAATTATATAGACAATTGTTTTAATTTTAATTTGACGAAATGGATGACTTTAGAATTAATAAGGAAATTTTAATGGTGCATGCTTTAAAGTAGATGATGATGCTATAACTCGAATATAAATGAGGTATGTAATTTAAGAACAATATATATATATATATATATATATATATATATATATATATATTAGATTGTCAAATATCTCCCTTCCGCTTTTTTGCTCTTGATTTATAATACAAAAAGGCGGAAGGGAGATATTTGACAACCTTATATATATATATATATATATATATATATATATATGACATATTTTAAATAATGACAAATTTTTGACGCTTTAAAAAATATTAAACAAATCTAAAAGTACTGATTTTAAATGATCAAATTTCAATTTTTGATATTTCAAATAATTTTTTAAATTGTAATTTTTTTTAATTATGACTTTTAATATTCTTCCAATTTTATTATCATTGTTTACAATTTTTGGTTATTAGGAAAAATTTATTAGTGCAAATCTGTAGTTTTTCTTGTGATTTGTTTTTTCATTTGAATTATGAATAAATTTTGTTCTAATATACATATAATTATCTTGACATGTTATATAATGACAAATTTTTGATGCTTTAACAAATATTTTTAATTTTTTTTAAACATATCTAAAAATACTGATTTTAAATATTGAAATTCGATTTATTCTATTTCAATTAATTTAGTAAATTGTATATAGTTTGTTTTAATTATTATGACTTTTAATATTCTTTCAATTTTATTATCATTGTTCACGATTTTTAGTTTCTAGGCAAATTTATAAGTGCTAAATCTGAACATTTTGTTTGTGATTTGATTTTTAAAAATGAATAAGTTTTGTTGTAATATAAAAATGTTGAATTATTTATGAAAAATGAACAATTTATAATGTTTTTGTCTAGATCTAGGTTTTGTCAACATTTAAGTAATAAATAATTTATTATTAATAAAAAAAAGTTGATTTAAGAAAAATTTATTAAGTGCTAAAATTAACAAATTTATAAAGTTATTGTAATTTTTTTTCTAAACCAACTGTTATTTATTTCATTTTTTTTTTTTAATAATTTAAATAATTAAATATTGGTTTCCTAATAAATGTAGACAAATTCTAGACAAAAATATTATAAATTATTTAAATCAGCATTTTTATATTTAAACAAAATTTATTTAAAAATAAATTTAAAACTAATGATGTCCTAAAATTTTGAATTATTAAAATTATTGTTAATTGTTTTATATTTCAATCAATTTTTTAAATTGTAATTTTTTTTAATTATTATGACTTTTAATATTCTTTCAATTTTATTATCATTGTTTTCGATTTTTTGTATTTAGGAAAATGAATTTAAACTCAAAGAGAAATTATGTGTTCTGAATATTTTAATATTTTAGGAACTCAACCTTTTTTAATATTTGATATATAAAATTTAATAACAATGTCTAAATTTTTATTAATTTTTATTAATTTTAAAACTTTCGTTGGAGATGTATAATATTTTTTAAATTCCCAGCAGTTTAGTTTTAATTTTTTTTAATTTATATAATAAAATTCCTAAATATTTAACATTTTTGCAAATTTTACAAAAAAAATTAAAAATGAATCTTAAATTATATATTTTTTTAATTTCCAGTGATTTTATATAAAATTTTTGAAGTTTTTATAATATTTGAAGTAAATTTTGATAATTGTTTTAATCTATATTTTAAAATTTAAAAAAAAAGGTATTTACAAATAAGTTTTTTGAATTCCAAAATTGTTTAAAATATTTAACTATATAATTACACAATTTTATGTTTGCATTTTTAATATCCAGACATTTGTATTTTCCATTTTATAAAAAAAACAATATGTTGCAAATTAATGTTATTTTAAAATATATTATTATATTTGCAGTTTAATAAATTTTAAAATTGACTATTTTTAAAAATATTATCTATTTTTATATTTATATATAAAGTATGCTGAAAATTCAATATATTTTCAAATTTTACTTAAAAACATAAAATTTAAAAAAAAGAATTGCTGGAAATTGATAAAAAATATATAAATTCTAAAGGAAATTAAAAAAACACTAATAATTAAGGAAAATAGATTGATAATTATCAATTTTGTCATATAGATTTTAAAAATATAAATGAAATCATTGAATATAAAAAAAAACTTTGTAAAATTTACGAAAATGTTGAGAATTTAGCAAATACTTTATAAAAAGTTTAAAGGCAAGAAGAATATTTAAATTATGTATAAAATTAAAATTTGAAAATTAAAAAAATGTAAAATATTTGGAAAAACGTGTTAATTTTAATTTAAAATAAGTCGAAATATCAAAAATTTAATTTTATTAATTGAAAAGAACAAAAAAAACATGAAATGCATGAATTTTGTTCATAATTGAGGGTTTGAAAAAATACAAAAAAATAAAAAGATGATACATCAGAAAACTATTTTTAAAAATAGTTAAAGTTGAGACAATTTCAAAATTAGAACAAACTGCCACAAACAAGTATTTGAAATAAGATATTGAAAGATTATTGTCAGAAGTTTTAGACAGATTTTTGTTTAAAAAGAATGTATAAACATTTTTTGAAGTTTCAAAAATTTGTGACACATATATATATATATATATATATATATATTTATGAACTTTTACCTCGACCACCGACCTAATGTGTACTACAAATTGTAAATAGTTATTTTAGCCGCTTATGCCTACGACTGGAAATATTATTATAACTAAATAGATATTTTATATAATTAAGTAAACCTTCTAGTTTATATCAAGCCTATTTTAAAGTTTTAATATTTTTATTAATTAATTATAATAATAATAAATAATTATGATAACGATCATGATGATGATGATGTATGTAATTAATAAATGTCTATGTTTATATATCTATGTGGTTTTATTAAATATAATAGTATTTGGCAGTAACAGCAATAACTATTTAATAAAATTATAATAATATTAGACTACTACTAGATTAAAAATTGTACTATTTGGGTAGTTGTCCAGATTGTTGGGCTAGGGCTATGGCGTTTTCATTTGCTATCATTTGGAATTCTTGGAAACGTTGGGAGACACGTTGGTTCATTTTTAAATACTTTTCCATGCAGTTTAACGCGCATTTTTCCTATAATAGGGTAATTGATATATACTAGATACTAGTACTAGTAATAAAATAATCTCAACTTGCTGAACCAGAATCGATATGTTTGCTTGTATATTAATATCATATTACTAGGTACTTCAAAAATCACATAGATAAACACAATCAATAGCATTCATAAACAAGCTCTTACATCTATTATTATACTAATCGATAGTTACCTCTGAAGGCTTAATAGCTCTGGAAGTAAAATCACTTATACAATCTACAAAACATCGCTCCGACAATTTATTGTAAGACATCACAAAATCCCTGAACTGAAAATCAACATTCACAATTATTTAAACAAATTTCATATACCTCTTGTACAATTTTTAGGTTATGTGTACTCACGGATTTGATTTGCTCGGAATTAACATTTTCTGGAGACATTTGTTGCATCGACATGATTTAAATATTGTTTTTGTATAGTTTTCTTTCATTAACTTAATAAATGCATTAATAATTTATGTCAAATCGTTTTTGTCAATTTTTGTTTGATGAATGTAGTAATAGGGTAGTAATGGTTGGTGGACGATGGTAAAGATGGCACTCGGGGGAATAAATAGTATTTTATTAAAAAAACTTACGCAAAATGTGATATATATGTATATAAATATACATATTTGCAATATATGTATATATGTATATTTATATGCATTAAAAACCTCAAATAATAACAAAAAACAATATTTATTTATCACAATTTCGAAATTACCGCGTTACCAACTTCACACCAAACGACTCCATTTTAAAAGAATATATTTTAACCTCTTGTAGTTTGGTAAAAAAAATGCACAAAGTATAATGCAAATATGTATATAAATATACATATTAGCATTATATGTACTTATGTATATTCATATACATCAAAAACCTCAAACAATTCCAAAAAACAATATTTATTTATCACAATTTCAAAATTACCGCGTTATCAACTTCACACCTAACGACTCCATTTTGAATGCTGTCAAAAGCAAACTTTTTAACCTCAAAAAGTCCTTTCATTTTCCACGTTTTTCTCCAACAACATGTGTTTTTACTCAACGCTTTAAATAATTAATTATTACTTATTTAATCAAACACTTAATTAAAATGGTTTACAAGAGGAAAAAGTACCATTATGGTGATACTCATCTTAAACGCAGATGGAGGGTTAGGAACAGAAAGAAGGACTTGGATGAGGTAATGGAATTTGTTGACATAATAAATGGTGGTTTATTTATTATAATTGTTTGTTTGTTTTTGTGGTAGATTGATGAAGATTTAAAGGAAGAGAATGCAGAGAAGTTATTGAACCAGGAAGTTGATTTTGATAAACCTGGATCAGCTCAACATTATTGTTTGCATTGTGCCAGATATTTTATAGATGATCATGCTTTGCAGGATCATTTTAAAACAAAGGTAAGGGGAATAGATACAATAATAATAGATTTATAGATTATGTGAATAAGCTCAAAGTACGCTCTATAATTTTGCACTAACATAAACTTGAAAGTTCCAAATGAGACTGTGAGTCATTTTTTTTATTTATATATATATACATTATTTTCATATCTCAGTCAGACAGAGTTGCCTGGTATGAGAGATTATGAAAAACAGTTTTCATATTTTATATACATTTCATTTTACTATTTCATTAATATAATATCTGTTATAATTAAAATATCTTTATATATAACACTTCAGTCTTCTTTGTCTTCTATTTCCTTATAGTATTTCTTTATTTTTCTTTTAAATTTATTGTCATCATTAGTCATCTTAATATCGTTTGGCAATTCGTTATATATTTTGCTAGCACTCCATACAACATTTTCTCTCAAATTCTTCTTTCTATTGCGTTCAATGTGAAAATTGTTGTGTTGTCTAGCGTAGTGTTCATGTATATCTTAATTTATGTCTATTGTTGCACTTGTTTTAATTTGTTTAAATTTCATTTTGTGTATTAGTTTGCATTTCTCTATTTTAATTATGTTATTTAGTGAATGATTATTTGTTTCTCTCTGTAAGTTCATCAGTATAAACTTATAAACAATATTAATAACACATTTATAAACAACTTATTGGAAAATGTTACAAATGTATACAAATTGATTGTACCAACTTTTGTTGCAATATTTAGTTTATTTAATCAGCAATCAGAAATAATATTTTTTTGAAATCCTTCTACATTAAAATCTTCTATATAAAAGTTATATTGAGACTTTTTTACAAAGCAACTTAAGGTCATTCCTATTTAAGATGTATTTTATACTTATTTGTTAATACGTTAGTAAAAGAATCGCCAGCATTGATTCATCATGATCGACCTAACCTTCCTTACAATTTATATTAGCCAACAAATAACATGAGAGACTTGATGTTTACGTTTATAATTTTTTTATACAAATTTATTGTAAAATAATGAATGCTTTACTAGAAGTTTTATAAACAATTATGCCTAAAGATTTTTTTTAAAAGGTAACCTAAGGATTGTCGTCGCTATTTGTAATGCATTCTGTGTTTGTATCGTATTATTCACAAATGATGATGATGAAGTACAAGTCGGTATATTAATCCTCTGCATGGTTATTTGAAACTGAAGGAGATTCAATATGATTAATCAAACATTTTAATCAATTGATACGAATCAAACAATAGTTATTTCATTCATGTTAGAGATATTACAAAGTTATTATTAAATAGCCTTGTGACTTATGAAGGAATTACATTATACAAGACATATATATATATATATATATATATATATATATATATATATATCACCTTTAATTATAAAAATGTGTATTCAATCTTGAGGTTATGTTTTATTGATTTTTTTAATACCAAATCTTTATTATTAGGAATTTTTCTAATTATTATTTACCTAAATCAATGGGCTGTTATTTCTTCAATTTCCTATTTAAAGGCAATAATTCATTCTCTTGTTCCTTAAGCGAGTAATGATTCATTCATAACAATTTACAACTTTTATACAATCGGGACTTGTTAGGTAAAAGCATATTTTTGAGAAACTATTTGACTTCCATAATAAAATTAACTCGATTTCTTTTAAATTAGAAATCTTTGTTAAATTAATCCTCCTAATTATTATTTAGTTAAATTGATTGGCGACTATTTCTTTGATCTCTTTTCAAGATATATAATAATTCTCATATTTCTAAGAAACTATTATATTGAGAAATAAAATAAAATCAACCTAAAATGCACTTTCGTTAATCCCTGCTGTGATTTTTATCAGCAGTGAGAATAAAAGTGCTAGATTAATTTGTAACTATATGCATATAATAATTTTAATATAATTTATTATATTAAAATATGTTTGTTGTTACAACATTTCAAGAATATTAATATATGTATGTAATATGTATTTTGTTATATAAATAAGTTGATAATTAGTAAATTAGTGGTGTATGGCATTGTGCCTTAAGGAAAATTGCTGGAACTTTCCTTATTGGAAATTAATTTTTCTTAAAATAGTTTTTTAGTAATTTATTTCAAAACTTTGAAAAAATTAGATTTTTGAGAATTAATTTTTCATTTTTTTATATTTCGAAATTTTTAGAAATTTTTGAACTTTTTTTCAAAGCAATTGCACTGCGTAACTGTTTTAGAGACAAATTATCGAGGCGCGTAAGCGCTGCGTCGCAGTCTAATGGTTAAATATTGGTACGGAACCCATAAAAATGTAAACAAAATTTGTACTTATTATTAAAATCTCCATAAAATATCTGATAATTTGATATGTATATGTCGTCTAATGATCATTTTTGACCGCAAATTGGCTGTTTTAATTTTTTTCTTGGAAATCTTTTTGGTTTTGTCAATACAAGTAAAATGTTTTTTGAATCATTCAAATCGGTTAATCCGTGTTCTCGAAATTGTCGACGAAAAATTGTATTCGCACACACACACACACACACATTCATTTTTTCTAAGTTATGCCAAAATGTTCAGAAGACTTTGAAACGTAAAGATATATAAATAGATTCATTTTCAATATTTTTTCGACTACTATAACTTACCCTACTGGAAGTTAAAAATCAAATTTTTCAAAAAAAATTATATTCTCAAATATCTAATAATCTGTTTTCAAAGAAAATTTGATGGAAAGATATTTACATTACAGGAAGATAGAAATCAATTTTTTTAAAAAAAAAGTCAAATTTTTTTCAAAATTTTTAAAATTCTGAAATATCCAATTTAGATAGAAATCAAATTTTCCAAAAAAAGTAAGTACATTTTTTCAAAAATATTCTCAAATATCAATATTCTTCAAAATTTTCAAAAAAATTCCATTACGTTTCGCGAAGTTAAAAATCAAATTCTTCAAAGAAGTCTTTTTTTCAAAAATATTCTCAAATATCCAATTTCTTCAAAATTTTCAAAAAAAAAATTCAAATGCGTTATGGGAAGATAGAAATCAAGTTTTCCAAAAAAGTACATTTTTTCAAAAATTTTGAATTTCTCAAATATCCATTTCTTTCAAAATTATAAATGGTTAAGAATTCGATTACGGAAAGATAGAAATCAAATTTTCCATAAAGTACATTTTTTCAAAAGTTTTGATATTCTCAAATATTCATTTTTTTTTTCAAAATTATAAATTGTTAAGAATTTAATTACTTTACGGGAAGATAGAAATCATTTTCCAAACAAAGTACATTTTTTCAAAAATTGTAAATTTCTCAAATTTCTTCAAAATTTTCAAAAAAATTTAAATTGAAAAAAATTCAATTGCATTACGGGAAGATAGAAATCATATTTTCCAAAAAAGTACATTTATTCAAAAAATTTGAAATTCTCAAATATTCATTTTTTATAATTATAATTATAAATTAAGAATTCAATTACTTTACGGGAAGATAAAAATCAAATTTTTCAAAAAAAAGTGCTATTTTTTCTAAAAAATTTACAATTCTCAAATATCCAATTTATTCAAAGTTTGCAAAAAAATTTAAATGGAAAAAAATTCAATTACTTAAATAAATCATTAATATTAAATAAATTTCAAAAAAAAGTCTTTTTTCAAAAATTTTAGAATTTCAAATATCCAATTTCTTCAAATTTTCACAAAATTTTAGATTGTAAAAAAATCAAATTACGTTACGAGAAGTTCCTGCAATTTGTTTTAAGGCACGATGCCATACACCACTGGTTTGTTTCTAAACATATGCCTATTTTTGTGTTTCTTTTAGGTTCACAAAAGAAGACTAAAAGCCCTAGAATTGGAGCCCTATTCTGTTGAAGAATCCGAAAAAGCAGCAGGTCACGGTAATTTCGTTCCGGCTAAAAAACGAAAAATAGAAACACAACCCTCAAAAGACGACCCTAAAATGGTAGAAGACGAAGACCTATAACCAACAAATAATAAAAAAATAAATAAAAATATATAAAAACCATGTATAAGTCTAAACTATTTTCTTTCACCCAAATATTACTACTAAAACCTAGATTTTATACCTCGGCTTTGTACGTAACAGGAGACAAAGCTACGGCCACATGCGCCTTACTAACACCTTATATAGACTTTAAAAATTTTGAAAATAACTTTGATAATTTTACCATCAATGCAAAACATAGGCGTCTTGATGTAGATTTCGGGGAGTTACAAAAATTATGGTTTTTGTACCAAGATTTGGACAAAACACGCCGAAAATTGGACGCGTGCAGAACCAGCATCGCCGATAAAGTTAAGACACTCGACAAATCCGGTGACGAGTTTACCAAATTAATTAACCAGGGTAAAATTGTAAGGGATGATTTGAAGATGCTTAAGGATTGTTTTCAACCCGTGCAGGAAAATTTGATAACGCAATTGCTAGGACTTCCCAATATTATTCATAAGTGGACGCCATTGGAAAATTCCCATGTGCATTTTACATTTTTGGACAAGCCCGGACATATGTCTGATCATCATATCGCCGTAGGCGGTAAATTAGGGCTTCTAAATTTTATGAACCAGTATTCGTACTATTTGCTGAACGATGCAGCACTTTTGGAAATCGATTTTATTACCCACGTCAATAGATATTTGGATCAACATGATTTCATACCCTTCACCCTACCGGATTTTGCGCGCAGCGCAATTTTGGAAGGTTGCGGTGTAGATTTCGCAAACCTAAACCAATTTTTTACCATCCAAGACCCCGATGGATCCGACCAAGATATTAGCAAGTTGCACTTGGTCGGTACAGCATCCTTGTACAGTTTTATGGCCTATCACACAAAATTAATGTTGTACCCATCAGCGTTTCCCTTAAACTACTACAGTTCCGGACGCCAATACAAACCTTCAACAAACATCGACAAAGGTTTGCTGGAACCTTCGCAAAGCACTTGCGTCCAAATATTCACCGCAACTTTACAATCCCAAGAACAAATGGAACAAGAGTTTTTGAAGCTCCAAAATTTATGTACCAATTTATATAAATCGTTTACCAATTACCATTTTAGAGTCGTTTACCAGCCGGCTTGGATGTTGGATAAAAGTGAATCTTGTAGATTGAGTTTCCAAATGTTTTCCTCGCATTTTCAAGAGTATGTGGAAGTTGGTCATCTTTCAATGTATGATGATTATATTAGTAAGCGTTTGTTGTTTACATATAAGGAAGGGAAGGTTAATGTTTTTCCTAAAGTTATTTCGGGGACTGTTGTTAATTTTGCGAAAGTTTTTGCGTGTGTTTTGGAGAATTATCCGGATAGACTAGTTGTTCCAGATGTATGTAAATTGTGAATATGTTATAAATAATTTGTTTATATTTACGAAGTTTGTAAAATAAAGATTATAGTTCAAGACATTGTTTTCTTTCACCTCTGTTTCTGAAAAATGTTTGAAATATTTTAATTTTAGTTCAAAATGTTTTAGATATTTTGGTTCTAAAATGTTCTAGACGGCCTAAAAATATTTTAAATGGTCTGAAAATGTTCTAAATTATCTGTAAATTTTCTAGATAGTTAAAAATATTTCAGATTTTTTTGAAAATGTTCTAGATGGTCTGAAAATATGTTCTAGATATTTGGAAAAATGTTCTGGATATTTTGAAATTGTTCTAAATGGTCTGAAAATTTTCTAAATCATCTATAAATTTTCTAGATAGACTAAAAATGTTTCAGATTTTTTGAAAATGTTCTAGATAGTCTGAAAATATGTTCTAGATATTCTGGAAATATGTTCTGGACATTTTGAAAATGTTCTAGACGGTCTGAAAATATTTCAAATGGTCTGAAAATGTTCTAAATTATCTGTAAATTTTCTAGATAGTTAAAAATATTTCTGATTTTTTTGAAAATGTTCTAGATGGTCTGAAAATATGTTCTAGATATTTTGGAAAAATGTTCTGGATATTTTGAAATTGTTTTAAACGGTCTGAAAATATTTTATATGGTAATGTTCTAGATTATTTATAAATCCTCTAGAAAGTTTAAAATTGTTTCAGATTTTTTGAAAATGTTCTAGATATTTTGAAAATGTTGCAGTTATTTTAAAAATGATTTAAATGGTCTGTAAATATTCTAGATAGTCTTAAAATATGTTCTAAATAGTTCAAAAATGTTCTAGATATTTTGAAAATGTTCTAGATATTCTGAAACCGTTCTAAATAATTTGAAAATTGTCTAGACATTTTGTAAATGTTTCAGATATTTTTAAAATGGTTCACGTCGTCTGAAAATATTTAAAATGCTCCAAATATGTTCCAGATTTTTTGAAAATGTTCTAGATAGTCAGAAAATATGTTCTATAGTTAATCTGAAAATCTTCTAGATTTTTTGTAAATGTTTCAGATATTTTTGAAATGGTTTAGGTGGTCTGAAAATATTTGAAATGTTTTAGATAGTATGAAAAGGTTCTAGTTATTCTGAAATATTCTAGATTTTTTGAAAATATTCTAAATATTAGTCTGAAAATATGTTTTAGTTAATCTGAAAGCTTTCTAAATTGTTTGTGAATGTTCCAGATATTTTTATGCATTTTATAAATATGAAAATCTTAGAAATGTTCTAGATAGTCTCTAAATATGTTCTAGATAGTCTAAAAATGTTCTAGATAATCTGAAAATCTTCGAGATTGTTTGTAAATGTTCCAGATATTTTAAAAATAGTTTGGATAGTCTGAAAAAAATGGAAATGGTCTGAAAATATTTTAAATAGTCTCCAAATATGTTCTAGATAATCTGAAGATGTTCTAGATATTCTGGATGGTCTAAAAATGTACATTTTAGACGATCTACAACATTTTTAAAAAATTTTGAACATTTTCAGACCATGTAAAAAAATTTCAGACTACCCAGAACATTTTTAGACTATCTAGAACATTTTCAGACTATTTAAAACATTATTAGACCATCTAGAACATTTTCAGACTATTTTTAGAATATTTTTTGACTACAACATTTTCAGACTTTTTAGAACATTTTTAGACAATCAAGAAGATTTTCAAACTATCCGAAACATTTATAGACCACCAAGAATATTTTCAGACCATCTAGAACATTTTTGAAAGTACATATCAAGAACATTTCGAAGCATCCAAATTATTTTCAGATTATATAGAATATTTTTAAACCATCTCAAACAATTTCAGACTATCTAGAATAATTTCTCGAGTATCTAGAACACTTCAAGACTATGTAGAACATTTTGAGGCCATCTAAGCGAACATATCTTAGACCGTCTAGAACATTTTGATACTGAAAAGAACATGTTTTAGACAATCTAGAACATATTTTATATAATATATAATAGATAATATATATTATCTAGAACATTTTGCTTCTAGCTAAAACATTTGGAGACTATGTATAGAACATGTCTGAGGCTGATCTAGAACATATTTTAGATTATCTAGAACATTTTGAGACTAACTATTACATGTGTGAGACCATCTAGAACATATATTAGATCATAAAACATTTTGTTTCTAGCTGAAACCTTATCTAGAACATGTCTGAGACTAAATAGAACACTTAAAACTGAACTATTATTATTATTAATTACTTAATTTTATTTGTCGTGGTTATTTTTCACATGATGATGGCTAGGATGTTGGTCGAAACGTATTGATATCAAATAATCTTATAAACAACTTATGCAATTTTTATTGATGCAACTTTAAACTCGACTCATATATATTATATCTCTATTAAATTCAAGATTTTACATGAAAATAAATAATAATAATGTAAAATTTACATTACTAACTAAGTATTATTTTATTAAATGTATAAATGAATTTGAAATTTGAATTTCCCGCGTTAGTTTCCAACGACCGCCATGTTTATTTATCTAAGACCGCCATTACTCCGAGACTCGAACCATTACAATTTTGCAATAGTTCGCGTTTTAACGTTCCCAGCGTTGGTACATCAGTTGTTAGTGGTTGACGGGAAAGAAAAAACAATCGAGTGAAAATGTAGATAATTTGTTTCTAATTCATCATAAATCAATTACTAGAGTAACAAAAACACTCTTCAAACGTCATGTGATATTTAATGCTTTCGTAGAAATAATCAACAAACAGTTTCCATCTGCCAAAGTGCCGGCGGCAACTCAAACAAATCGTTTACTGGCACAAGAAGCTTGTAGAAAAAATGTATATAATGGATTTAGAAAAAGTAAATAATGCCCGTGAGTTTCTCACACATGCTTTAAGAAGTGTTTCGGAGATTGGTAAGATATTGACTATTAGTTCTGAGAAATTGTTGAACACTAAAGTGGTTTATGCTGATATGTCAACTGTAGACAATGTCGTCAAAGCTAATGAGAAGATCAAAAAAATGGTGGCGATTGCCAAATTGAAATTGGACGATGTGCAAGCACAGTCTACTAAGGACTTACAAGACTTACTTACATCTATGGGCATACCTGTTGAAGAACCTGGTAAAAAATTACCCAATGGTGATACTAATGGAGACTCCAGTATTAATAATAGTGTAGAAGAAGATAAAAGTGATGGTGCGCCTATTTCCGAACCAGAGGGTACGGTGGACACAGTTGATAAAATGATAAATGATAAAACTACTAGTGATGATAAAGTTACTAGTGAAGATAAAGTTACTAGTGATGATAAAGCTACTAGTGACAATAAAGCTACTAGTGAAGACCGCAAAGGTTTCATCAAAGTTGTAGACATCACAAAGTTGATGGAGCCCAAAAAAACAGAAAGTGTCATTGTAATAAGCGATACAGATGTGTCAAGCCCTGAAAAACCAAAACCAAAACCCAAACTCAGACCCAGATCTAAAACAAATTACAACCCCATAGAATCCATATACCAATCAGACCCCTTATTCAAACCCAAAAGCAGCTTCATCAAACTAAACGACATCACTTGTGACATCAAAACCATCATGCACAAAAACCGCATTCAAAAAGTCTTCGACCCCAAAGGCAACTTGTTACAACAATCTACATCCCCCCGTAGCCGATCCAGCAAAGAACTAGCAAAATCCAGGTTCGAAAGTTACCGCAAAACTCGCACAGAACGACGCAAAAAACCAGTCCCGGAAGAAGAATGCGAAAAAGACGACTCCGACGCTGATACCACAATCCACCCTGTCCCAGAATTCGATGACATCCCCAAACCCGATATAAAATCTAGCCTCAAAGACCTAGCTTCACCTAAAGTCAACAAACGGGTATCTTTTGCCAGCGGATCTTCCACTGATGATGATGACGATAAAGCCAAAGAGAATTCTAACTGTGATGATAGTAAGAATGATGATGAAGGTGTGAGGAAGACACGAGCGACCCGGAATGAGAGGAATAAAAAATCAAGTCTGCGCCAAATTAAAAAGAATGAGGATAATAAAGACTCTGATTCTGATTCCAATGATGATAAGACTCTTGTAGATGATTCTAATAGTAATAATGAGAGTGAGAAAGCGGCAGAGGGTGTTGAAGGTGAAAAAGAGCCCCAAGATGATGATAATGAGTCTAAAGAAAATGCTACAAAAGGTGATGATGATTCTGAGAGCGCTCAGAAAGAATCTACAGCTAAATCTGGTGATGGAGATGGTGATTGTAATGAAGCCGAAAAGAAACGTACTTTGGATGATGTAAGTATAAATATTATTTTTTATTTGCTATGCATTGTTTAGTTAATTTCAGTAAAAATGTATATATGTATATATATATATATATATATATTAATATATAACTGGAAAAATCAATAGCTAAATTTGAAAATCAATTATCTATTAATAAATAGATAGATGAAAAATATATGCAAATGTATATATATAAGTTAATACTTAAATTAATAGATGAAAAAATAAACAAGTAGATATTTAAATATATAGATGATTTAAGTTTTTTTTTTATTTCTGCTAATTTTAATAATCAAATTACAATACAATCTATAAGTTAAAAGTTATGGTATTGAAAATCAAAATCAAGAAGAAAAAATAATAATAAAAGGAGTTAAAGAAAAGAAATAAAATAAATAAATGAATAAATAAAAATTAAAATAATAGTATTAATAATAAAAACAATAATCAATAATAAATAATAATTAAAAGTATCTTATAGATGATAAAGTAAACAACTATATAAATAAATAAATAAAATAAATAAATATATACATATAAATATATACAGATAAATGAACAAAAACATGAAAAAGTAAACAAATCAGATATATATATATATATATATATATATATATATATAAACAAATAGCTATATAAAGAGATAGATATATAAATAGATAAATAAACACATACATAAATAGAAAAAAAAATAAACAAATCTTTACATAAATAAATAAATAGATAAATCAATACAAAAATAAATATATGAAAAAGTAAACAAATCATATTGTATTGATTTGTTTATTTATAATAAAATAGATATATAAATATATACATAGATTATGTAACTACATAAATAGATAGATGAATAGATAGTGGTGGGCAAAATGCTGAAACTTTTAGTACTGAAAACTAAATTTTTAGAAAGGCTTTGAAAACAAGAAATTAGATTTTTTGAAAATTTCAGGAAGAAATGTTTACAAATTACAGAACATTTTTGGACCATCTAAAACATTTTCAGACTTTTTAGTCTATTCTAGAACATTTTCAGACTTTTTAGAAAATTTTATCTAGAATATTTTCACGCTACTTAGAATGTTTAAAAAATATGTAGAACGTTTTCAGACTATCTAGAATATTTTCACACTATTTAGAACATTTACAAAATATGTAGAACTGCTTTCTAGATCATTTTCAGACTTTTTAGAGCATCTAGAACATTTTTAGACCATCTAGAATATTTTCACACTATTTAGAATATTTACAAAATATGTAGAACTGCATTCTAGATCATTTTCAGACTTTTTAGAGCATCTAGAACATTTTTAGACCATCTAGAATATTTTCACACTATTTAGAACATTTACACAATATGTAGAACATTTTCAGACAATCTAAAACATTTTCAGACTTTTTAGAGCATCTAGAACATTTTCAGACTTTCTAGATTATTTTATTAGTCTAACTAAAACGTTTCAGACTTTTTAGAGCATCTAGAACATTTTCAGACTAGTTAGAACATTTTCAGACTTTCTAGATTATTTTATCTAGAATATTTTTAGACTATCTAGAATATTTTCACGCTATTTAGAACATTTACAAAATATTTAGAACATTTTCAGACTTTTTAGATCATTTTCAGACTTTCTAGAACTTCATTAGACCATCTACAACATTTCCAGACTTTTTGGATCTTTTTAGACCATTTACAACATTTTCAGACTATTTCGAATAATTTCATACATTCCAGAACATTTTCATACTTTCCAGAACATTTTCATACTTTTCAGAACATTTTCAATACTTTCCAGAACATTTTCAGTCTAGATAGAACATTTTCATTTGAAATATGTAACAGCATAAATATTTTCATGAACTAGTGGTGGCAAATTGCTGAAACTTGCCACACACAAAAACAAAATTTTTGTAAACAAAAAAAATTGATTTTTGAATTTTTTTGAAAAAAAAAATTACTTGAAAAATTTGATTTTATTTACCTTTGAAAATGATCAACAATTAACAAAAATTATTGATCAGTCATTGAACACTGGTTTTGAACAATAACAAATTGCTGGAAGTTCCCGTACTGCAATTAAACATTCGAGACATGTAATAACAATTGTTGATGTTTCTAAATGTTACAATTACTGTTATTATTTTCAAAATGCACTTTTGCTTAAAGTGTACAAATAGACTATTGTATTGAAATGCAAACAAAAAACATATAAGTATGTATCGCATTTCCTTATCTATGATATCGTATCCGATTAAGATGAAGCCATTCCAAAAATTAAATAAAATAATAATAATAAAAATATATTGAAAATCTGCATATTTATATGACACATATCAGTATCTTTATCAGCTCATTTTAATATAAAATTTTTGTTTTAGTAAACGTTTTGTGTAATTTTTTTTTTATTTTTGAATAACTTAAAAGTTAGTGTAACTAAATAATAGAACAGTTAGTGTTACTAAAGGTTTTAAGAAAATTTATTTTTTTTGCAAATTTAGAAATTTTTCAAATTTTGGATTTTTTTTAATTTTAAAATTCTTCAAAATTTGGATTTTTTTAAATTTTGAAATTCTTCAAAATTTGGATTTTTTTTTAAATTTTGAAATTCTTCAAAATTTGGATTTTTTTAAATTTTGAAATTCTTCAAAATTTGGATTTTTTTTTTAATTTTGAAATTCTTCAAAATTTGGATTTTTTTAAATTTTGAAATTCTTCAAAATTTGGATTTTTTTTTTAATTTTGAAATTTTTCAAAATTTGGATTTTTTTTTTAATTTTGAAAAAAATATTGTATTTTTTTGAATTATTATTATGTAAATATAATTGTTTTGAATTTAAAAAATTTTGATTTTATCAGAAATTTTGACTTTTTTTAAGTTTTGTATTTTTTCCAATTTTTGATAAAAATATTGGTATAAAAAATGGTTTTTCTAAACGTTTTATGTAAATGATTTTTTTTGTTAATAGTGATTTTTTAAAATTTGGTTGTTTTTGTTTTTGAAAAACATAATTTTTTGTTTTTTTTTAGTTTTTTGCAACTTTTATAAATTTCAATATTTTTTAAAACTCGTTTTTTATTCTAAAATTTTCAAACAATTTTTTCGCGAATTTTGACTTTTTTTTTGAAAATTTAGATTTTTTATTTGAAAATAGTGAAATATTTTGAAATTTTTGAAAATTCTGAATCTGAAATCTGAAATTTCAGAAGCTCGAAGCTCTATAAACGAAAATTTTAAATTTTTTGAAAACATTTTTTTGCACCGCCAACACAAGTAAAATATTCTTTGAATCATTCTATTCGGATGATCCGTTCTTTCAAAAACTTTTCTTTAATTCTAGTCTCAAGAAGAAGACTCCACTAATGCCAAGAAACAAAAAGTCGACAAGAAGAACTCAGACGACGAAATCGACAAACTGACCAATTTAAAAACCTTGGAGCAAAAACGTTCTGATAAAAAGGCATCGAAACCATCAAAAAAATCTCCTAAAAATTCAGGAGACGATGAAAAAGATCTAGAAGAAAAAGATACAGAAGAAAAAGATCCAGAAGAAAAAGATACAGAAGAAAAAATTGGTGAAGAAGAAACAGTCGAAGACCAAGAAGAGCATCATGACGAATCATCAAATGATGCAAACACTTTAATCGAAAATGGCACCGACGAAATCCTGGCAGAAGCCCAAATTGAAGAATGTAATGATTTTGAAAGTGTTGATATTCCTGAGAAGCTAATCGAAGACATGATGAATTCACCGGAAGAAAATTCTGATGACGAGAAATCTGGTGATAAGGCTTCTGGTGGTGAAGACCAGGGCAAGGAGAAAAAGTCTGAGAGGAAACAGAAAAGTAGCAAGAAAGACAAGGTAATAAAAATAATATTTAATCATTTATATATATATATATATATATATATATATATATATATATTAGATGACCCGGCCGACTTTGTTTCGCCTTAATGGCAATAAATATGCAGTTTTTTTAATTGGAAAAAATAAAAATAAAATACCAACAAAATATAAATTAGAAACAATTAATATATAACCATTTACATTTTTATTATGAACTTTGAGGTTATGTTAAGAAACTATATTTCAAAATTATTAACTTCCCGTAGGGTAATTATAGTAATGGGCCGAAAATCGAAAATGAAAATTTTTGCATTTCTCGACGTTTTGAAGGTTTCTGAACATTTTGGCATACCTCAGAAAACTAATGGATGGGTGTGTGTGTGTGTGTGTTTTGTATGTCCGCATTTTTTCGTCCACGTTTTCGAGCGCACGGATCAAAGGCAGGTCCAGCCGTTACGGAGATACGAAGCAAAGAGTGCAGAAAATAGAAATCGGGTTTTTGAGAGAACGGAGTATCGGATTTGAATGATCTAAAAAACATTCAATTTGTAATGATTGGGAGAAAAGGTGATTAGTTTTTGGCAAAGGTAGGCCCAGCGGTTTCGGAGATACAGAGCTAAATGTTAAAAAAAATGACAGTTTTTGTAAGAACTAAGCGTCCGATTTAAATAATTCAAAGAACTTTCTGCTTGTTTCAACAAATAAATTGCTTTAGGACAACAAAAAATGTTTCTATTTTTTTCAAAAAATATTTTTGTAATTTTGGATTAAAAATTCAAAAAATTACCCAGGCTAAGCACAGTCTAAGCGCCACTCTGGTACAAATGTTTATCTAAGTGCGTTTAGACTGTTTATGTACTGAAGCACTTTTCCAATTTTGTGAAAACTATTGAAAAATGTGAAAATGCCGACAAGCTAAGCACAGTATAGGTGAAAATGTCGCACAGAAATATTTGTAAATTCGATTAGACTGTGACTATACGGGAGCACTTTCAATTTTGTGCAAATTAGGCAACTATTTTTTTGAAATTGAATTTGAAATGAAATGACGATTGTTAATGTTCTGGAGATAAATTGATTTATGATTGACATTTGACAGTATTTGTAATAATATATTTGAAAATGTTTAAAATTTTTCAAATATTTCATTACGGTACGAGAAATTCCAGCAATTTGCCTTAAGGCACGATGCCATACACCACTAGTTTTTTTTATTAATTTGTTAATGATTATACTTATTGCTGATTGTAAACACGTCAAATACTCTATTTAAATATGTATAAACAAATATACATAAATACCTAAGTATATAAATAATTACATTTCCATTTGCAGGAAATAAATTTCTTTAAAGAATTAATTTATTTGCCACTTGGTAATAATTTTCCGTGGTGATTAAAAAATTTATATTAATATATTAGTATCAAAACAGAAACACCGAATGATAGTTGACAATTGAAAGTATATGTCCTGGATAAAATATGAATCATGGATTGAATAAACTAAATGAATAGTTATATATTATATATATATATATATCCTATGTCTTTCTCCTGGTTCTAAACTACCTCCCTGCCAATTTTCAGCTAAATCGGTTCAGCCGTTCGTGAGTCATAAGTGTTGTAACAAACACGATCCTCTTTTAAACTAATATAATTTATTAATTCCAGGACGCAAAAAGAAAACAAATCACCGATCCTTTGCTAACTGAAAAACTATCAGATTCAGATGGTGATGATGATAAGAAGACCAGAAAGAAGAAGTCTAAAGAAAAAACTGAAGAGGATGCAGACATGTAAGTTAAACCATATTTACTCATTTAAATTTAGTCAAACTTTTTAACAAATGTTAATCAAAATCGCATATTATATTAATATTACTATATTACCCTGTGTTAGCATAAAAGGACCAAGGAAAATTCGGTAAGTCCTCTAACTAGGATTTATAACAACTGCTGAGGTCAAATCCAAAATTGTTTTTTAACCATTTTTTTTACCATAGGTCAGACAAGGGTTCCATAAAACGTCGCACAAGGAGTAGTAAAAAATCCCAAAACCAGGAATTGAGTGAAAGTGATGATTCCGATGATAAGGAAGAAGAATCTGAGAAGTTGGCTGAGGAAAAGAAGACAAACGATGAAGATGGTGATGGTGACGAGAAGTCTGCGGAAGATCAGGAAATGGGAAGTGAGAAGTCTGATAATGATGATGGTGATGGTGAAAAGAAGAACAGTGATGATGAGAAGAAAAGTGATGATGAGAAAAAGAATGATGATAAGATCAGTTTTGATAGCGACGACAGCGATGATATCAAAATGGTTAAGAAAAAGAAAGACTCGGATGACGACGATTCTGATGGTAAGTTTTGTGTTGACTATTTTTACACAAGGAGAATATTTGTTTGATTTATAATTTTTTTTACAGATGAGAAGGAAAATAAAGATAAGAGCGATTCAGACAGTGATAGCGATATTGTGGTGACCAAAAGGAGAAGGACCAAGCGGAAAAAAGATTCAGATGATTCCGATAAAAGTTCCGATTCTGACAAGTAAGTACTACCATAGGGTAATAAAATTTCAAGATTGGCCAATAAAATATTTAATTTTATTGTTCAATTGTTTTCACCAATAGATGTTCTAATTTAACTAGAATTTGATTGGGAAGCTCCTCAAAATACTGACTGGGGCAGCTTCATTGTACCAAAATCTCCGCAAAGTTTTTTTCAAAACATAATAGTTAGGTGACTATATTTTTTGAAGTCAAAACCAGGATGGAAATTTTTAGTTATGATAATCCGGGACGAGGAGGGGAAAAGTCTTTAAAATAACAAATGCCATTTAAAGATACAATAAAAAACTGTTTTTTTTATATGTGAATCTTTTTTTTTAAAATCATTATTGCGGTCTTTAAGTAAGAACTTTATATTTCTGTCATATGTAATACTTTTTTGTCTATGATATTATATTATATATTTTATTTTTTTCGATCTTATACTTTTTGCTTTTGAGTCTTGTTCTATTCCACTTTCTTTATAACTAATTTAAAAAAAATGCACTTATTCATTTTTTAACTTCCCGAAGGAGAAGTTTATGTTTTCATCAAAAAATCCGATTCGCTAATTTTATGTTTTGTCGACGTTTCAAGCCATGAGACCAAATTTGGAAAAAGTATGTGTGTGTGTGCGTGTGTGTGAACAGATTTTTTGTCGTAAATCGAGGTTTTCTCAAAAACGGCTGGACCGATTTCAAAATTTTAAAAGCCATTCGATGCACCTCGATGAGGACTAGCGTTTCTGTGTTTTGTACGACGATCGGCAGGGCCGTTTCTATGTAAATTGCAGAAAAGTGAAAAAAATGTTTAGGCCGCAATTCAGAATAGATTTTGAAAATTCAAAAACCGTTCGAAAGATATTGGTTGGGATCGACCTGATTAGTTTTTGGTAAAGATCGTCAGGGCCGTTTTCTTGTAATAGTGTTAAAATTTTTTTTTTCGACGATTTTTATTATTGTTTTAGATACCATAGTCTTATAGATCATACTAAAATATTTACGGCCCTACGACAACTCGTTTAATTTTAAAAATTCGTCAAAGTTTGCAAAAATTATTATCGTTTTTTTGGCATTTGTCAAAATTAGACCTTTGATCGACGTTTTCTCTAAAACGCCTGAACCGATTTCAAAAATTAAAAAGCCAATCGATGTATTTTGATTTAAATTATCTTTTCTCAGTCTTTTTGCAGCGCTCGGCTGAGCCGCTTCTTTGTAATTTGGAAAAAAGTGTTAAACTTTTCGTCCACATTAAACTCATACTACTGAATCGATTTTAAAAAAATCAAAAACTGTTCGAAAGATATTAGTTGGGAATGATACTGATTAGTTTCAGGTGAAAATCTACCGAGCCGTTTTCTTGTAATTAACTGTTGAAAAAAAAAATTAAGCGGATTTTTATGGATTTTTTTTTGCAACATACACGTATATCATGGTCTTATAGAACTTACTGAAATATTACGGCCTTTCAACAAGTAGTGTAATTTTGAAAATTCGTCAAAGTTTGAGAAAATGAGTAGTTTTTTTGACGTATTTTAAAATAAAATTAGACGATTTACTTGGCACGATAGAGTACTTGGTCTTAATGAATATACTAAACCATTAAAGTCCCATTGAAACTGGTTCAATTATAAAAATTATTGATTTGTGAAAATTTGCTCTTAGAAAATACTCCGAGTTAACGTGTTCGTTCGCTTTCAATGATGTGTAAGAAATCCACTCGGAATGCTTTTAATCACTCACAAATTAATTTAATTTATATTTATTAAGTCGATTATTCACACATATCGGGGAGTTCATGTAACTTCCCTCAAGGCTAAATACCAATACCAACTAGTTAATTTTTGTTTCTTATCTTTTGTAAAATTTGCAGAAAAACAAAAAAGAAGAGGAGGAGAGTTAAAACCGGTGATGACAGTAGCGCAGGTTCTGGTTCGGACCCTGACAGTCCAAATAAAGGCCGTAAAAATATACGAAAGGTAAAAAATTAGATAATTTATATATATATATATATATATATATATATATATATATATAGAAATAATAATTTTAATTTTTTTAATGTGGAATTGAAAAGTACATACAGCACTGTTTAATTCAAAATATCATTTATTTTTATCAAAGACTGTCCACTCTTAACTTCTTTAAATTTTGGAATTATTTTTCTTGCAATTTGCATTTGAAAATGCACACAACTCTAAATTTTCAACCTCCTTCCACAAATCTCTATTTCATAATAGCCATTTTAGTAATCGAATATTTTTTCACCATTCTTTTAGCGAGTGTTTTTTACTGAATTTTAATTCATATTATCCTGACCTCATGATAAAGAGAATGAAT